GTAGGATTTGAAGACGAGACCACCGTAGAAGAGTACTTGGAAAGAGTCGTACCAATCCTTGCGAGCATCTACGACCGGAAATTTGCAAAGCACACTTGGAGTCTCGAAAGTCAAGCATTCACGCCCGGCGCGTCATCGTCGACCTCTCCGTGGCTCAAGACCCTTGGCATCGCAACCTTCCTCGTGGCATCGTTTGGTGTGCTGAAATTCTTCTCCCGCAAAGCCTAGTCTAGTTGAGAGAGTATTTCCCCAAGGTGAATTTCTCGTTATTAAATGACGGATTGTTGTAATAGCTTTTAGTGTTGCTACTATTTTTGGCTGTCTGAAGATTTTGGCTAATCTACATACTTCTTCACCTAAGCTAGTTGATAACTACGAAATTTTGAATGATTTTCTTGCTATCTCAATAAGATATTAATTGAAATTACGTTGTCATTCACTTTTAATTCTCTTAAGAAGCTCCTTCGCATTTTCGTTCTACATCAGTTAGCGGACTGTGAATTAATTGCCACTACGCTGTATTCTATGATTTTCGTTAGAAATAAATGCTCCATTTGGATGCTAGTAATATGAGCGAAGAACTTCAAAAAAGAAAAAGAACGGAAAAACTGAAATCCATATCAGCAGGTTCATAATCAACCTACTATTTAAAAGGATCTCATTTCAATTCCTTTACAAACAAAGCCAAAGTTAAATTTAATTATGATGTTTTGCAAACAACAACGCATCTCGTTCCAGGATAAACCAGCGTTATTTAGACGCTTCTTCAAGTGGCTGAAGCCAGGTGGGAAGGTCCTCATCAGTGACTACTGCAAGAGGTCTGGAAATTCTTCCAAGGAATTCACGGAGTACATTGACAAGAGAGGATATGACCTGCATGACGTAAAGTCTTATGGCCAGGTTAGCTTTCTTTGTCCATCACTATCGTTTTAGTACAGCCAATTAATAATGTTTTGACGAATGACCAAAATCCCATATGAAAGTTTCACTTGCTGTTTGCATTGTTTGGTAGATGCTCAAGGATGCTGGTTTCCAGCACGTTATTGCTGAAGATAGAACCGATCAGGTAATTTTAGCAGATCATTATTCTCTGGTCTATTTACCTCCATTTTTTTTTCTTATTCTATTATATTTTTCAGTTTGTGGAAGTTCTGCAGAGGGAACTGGATGCAGTTGAGAAGAACATGGAAGAATTCATCCGTGATTTTTCCAAGGTTCTATCAAACAGTGCTTACGCTCATTTGGTCATTTGTAAATTACAAATTTATTTTATAAAGTTTTTATGTTATTCTCGTTCATTTGTACTTGAAAGTAAAAAAATTATAGAATCTTAGGGCTTTATTTGGTTGCTTGAAATTAAAAATTATGGCTTTGTTTGGGACAGCTTTAGACCATTATTTTTTTTTTTTCTGCTTTTAAGATATTTCAGCTTTATAAAACAATAAAAAAGTTGTCTCAAATGAAGCCTATGTTTCAAAAAATGAGCCTACGTGTTTTCTATTTAAAGGCAGTGAGTTCCTTAACGTTATTGTAGCAGTAGCTTTTTTTATTCTAGCAATTACTTTAACTGCTTCTACTTAAGGCTACAAGAACAAATCTCATTCATGTCTTCGTTTTCAGGAAGACTACGATGAAATTGTGGATGGCTGGAAAGCTAAGCTCAAGAGAAGTAAGACGGGTGAGCAGAGATGGGGCCTCTTCATAGCTAAGAAGCATTGATGGGCAGAGCGAGAGCAGCTCTTTATAAACCTCTGGTTTTCTCCAAACTTTAGCTTATGGTGGTATCTCTATATACTGGTTAGCTTACTGAAGCTTCGTTCCATTAAAATGGTACTATGGCAAATAATCTGAACTTTAAACCCCAAACTGCTATCTCTCCGTTTCATTTGTCATGTTTTCATAAGGGATTATGCTGGGAACCGCTATTTGACTGGTATGAAATATTTAGAACTCAGACTTGTTTTCAAGCTTGCTGCTGACAAATCTTTCAAATATTATTGCTGCCAAATCCTTGCCATGATCAGTGCAAGAATTTTGGTGTATGATATTTAATGTGATAATGGTTCGATATTCTCTCTTAATATTTATCCATCAGTGCAACTATTTAGATCTTGCGATAATATAATATGATTTGATTATGTGCTCACTAACACTTCATTTATAAAAAAAAATCAATGATTCGAAGACAATCAAAATGGCTAACAAAGTACACAAATATTTGGAAGATTAGAAGAAATTGATTTCACAACATTCCAGTGGGTGTAATTTCTTAACGTGTGATCATTTTTTTTCAAATACATGACTGATATTAATAATGCACTTAGTAGGATGTATGCCCTTACTTTAATATGCTATGCATATAAAGTTTGTGGATTTTATAAGATGATTTTTTGTTGCCCTGCATTTCAAGATTTCAGTCAAATCTATAGATGGTAAAGTCCGACAGCACCTTCTTTGCTAGAAAGGCCTTCATATTGTTTAATATGCTATGACTATTCGTTGAAAGTGAATGATTCAAAATCAAGATCTAGCCGCCAGCCCCTCTTCTCTCTCATCATAATAATAGTCATTGATCTCCTTCTTCCATTGAAAAACTTATTGGTTGAATTTTTAGTATTTTTTTAAACCTATTTGCAGCTCTTTAATACCCCCATCATAATTATTCTATTTTTCCTTCCAGAACCATTGGGTGACTACTCCTTCGACCTTTTCTCCTGAAAAAATTCCCATCTAATGTCTTTTATCTACTTGCTGAATGAATGTAAATGTAACAGCATGATAAAATTCTTCTGTACTTTTCAGCCCTCAAGTGATGAATATTTTGAGTGCAAAAACCCTCCCTCACAAGGAATTTTATTTGGTCCGGTTGACCGAATGCAAGAAACATCCGGTTGTAGGCAAAAACGCGCCTATACCTAGGTGTACCCAGTTTTTCAAAAAACTCGGTACACCTCGGTATAGGCGCATTTTTTCCTACAACCGGATGTTCCTCTGCATCCGGTCGGAGTACATAATAATTGTTCCCCTCACAAAGACTTTGAAGATGGGAGACGAAACTCATAACAACAAAAAACTGATAAAAGTTATCTTCAATATGATTACACATTCCAATTTCAAGTTGATTAAGGCTTCATTTGGAATGACTTTTCTTTTGTTGATTAAGACTTCATTTGGGACGATTTTTTTGTTGCTTCTAAAAGTAACTTTTTAGTACAAAAATTTAAATTTTTATACAAAAAAACTGCTTTAAGAAGCAACAAGAAAGTCATCCTTGAAGATGGGAGACGAAACTCATAACAACAAAAAACTGATAAAAGTTATCTTCAATATGATTACACATTCCAATTTCAAGTTGATTAAGGCTTCATTTGGAATGACTTTTCTTTTGTTGATTAAGACTTCATTTGGGACGATTTTTTTGTTGCTTCTAAAAATAATTTTTTAGTACAAAAATTTCAATTTTTATAAAAAAAACTGCTTTAAGAAGCAACAAGAAAGTCATCCCAAACAAAGCCTAAGGCTTCATTTGGGATGACTTTTCTTTTGATTCTTAAAGTAAAATTTTGTACTAAAAATTTGCTATAAGAAGCATATAAAAAACTGTCCCAAACAAAACTTAGATATTTCATTTGAGATAACTTTCTTATTATTTTAAAAATTATTTTTTAGTACAATTTTTTATTTCACAAAAAATTAATTTAAAAAATAGTAAAAAAATCATTTCAAACAAAGCATAAAACTTCATTTCATTTGAGATAATTTACAATTTTCTAAAATAATTTTTTAGTATAAAAATATTTAATTTAAAAAAAATTGTATTAAAAAATTACTTCAAAAAATAGTAAATTTGGAAAGCTTAAATCTCTCAATTTCAACCAGAAAAAAAAAGCTGTGTGATCACGTTTACATCTCTTTATAAATTCTGTACTAATAGCTAGTAAAAACATTAGTTGATTCTCATTGAAAGGAACACTAATTTTTTCATTTTAATAATTTAAGACAAAACTTCTCATTTTACCCTACGCAACAGAACACTCTTTAAGAAAAAAAAAAAATTTTTTTTTTTCTCATGCCAAAACAGTAGTGAAGAACCAAATGAGAAAATAACCACACAAACAGGATCATTTGGTCAATCGAGACAACTTTCTAGAATAATTTCTTCCTTTTGTGAAAACTAAATTGAGAATGATCCTCTGCTAAGTCTGATGGCAACAGGTACCAGAAACATACAACTGAAATTACATAATGCATATAACATTATGTAAAATACAAAAGAATTGGACAAAAATTTGGAAAATCGCTGAATTAACTTTACCTGATTCACTACCTTAACCATCCAACAATATGGGACATATATATTAACATATATATGCTTCCGGACCAATGGGCTTCATTCCCCTACCTCTCCTTGCCAGTCCTGCAAATTAATATGCAATATGAATACTAAAAGGACTGGAGAAGTTGGATGCTCAATGTGAGGATTTTCGACTGCAGTCCTTCCACTCAGCATTATCTTGGTACCTGAGAGATCAACAATGAACAATATATCTCATAACATATGCAGGTAAAGGCAAAAATTAAAGCTCATAGCAGTCTAAGGTTTTGTTTGCGATCAGCTTTTTAAGAAACTGTTTCATAAATCAGTAAAAAAAATTGTCACAAACGAAGCTTAAAAGAATCGAGTAAACAAAACTTTACTGGCATCATTTTTAATTTTATGGAGTTTTGCTAAGTTTCCCCTCTTTTGGGAAAAAAATTGGAAGATGATAGTGTGGTAAATTTTCACTCTGGTGCAAAAACAAGTAAATCTTCATGGCTTAAGAAACTTTAGACAAAGAGTTGTGGGAAAATGATAGAATTTTTCTTCCCAACAATGGCTGTTTAAGAAGAGGTGCAACAGTCCAAACTTATTTTTTTTCCTTTGATCCCCTGGGGTGTAAAAGATGGAAGGCAAAGAATAACTTCAAATTTTATAATAGAAATCCACAAAAAGAAAATAAACGTTCATACATAACACAAAATGAACAATTCAGTCAGATTACTTATCTAAAATGAGTTGCATGTAGTATCTACCAATAAACTTGGTATGATATAGGATTCTTTAACCAGTTTAGTTAAAAAGGCTTGAGTTGAACACTAGTTACACATAAAATTAAATCCATTATCACGATTGCAGGGAATTCAATTTATAAGAACCTTACTCTAGAAAAAAATAGAACCCTAACAAGTCACCAAATATTATATAAGATAATAAGTTCTTTTATTTTGGAACGGGGGTATCTACCTGTTGCCATGCCCCATAGGAGGCGAATAGCAACGTAACTAATCCCTCGACGAGCCTGCCAGCAACCAGTTCAGGATCCGCAATTATTTTATGCCCACTTAAGGGATCACGCCGCATGAGAGGGAAATCGAACATGAGTTGGAGGGTTCCCAATCATGCTCGCCCACGAACCCAGCTAAGCTCGGTGGGGTCAGATAATTAGTTTTGCTACAATCCTGTGTACAATGCGGCTATGGCTGACCTAGAAAATGTTAGTCAGTTATTTCCAGTCTGTGCTCCCATAGCATGACCAAAGCTCTAACAGCCACGATAATTATATTACTTTTCCTGACAATTTCAAATTTGGCTGATTGTTTTTTTACAAAATATGGCATGCAAAAATTTTCTAATAATATAAATAAATAGTAGTTATAAACAAGTAAATGAGGTATTCATAACACTACTATTAGTTAATGGCGCATTCATGAATGTTGAATCAAAAGTTTTCTTTTTCCTCGCTCTTTATATAAAAAGAGAGCAGAGCACATAAGAGTTCAATCGGAAGTTCAATTAGTGATGATCAATCCACCTTAGGCTAATAGATTTAAGAGAATAATTTTGAGTTCTGCTTGATTAGCGTGCTGAAGCCTAAGTGTATCACCTAATAAAGCTAGCAAATAATGATTTAATTAGTTAGATTTTGAATGACAACGAGTCATGCAAGTGTATTTAACAAAGGATCAACTATAACTAAGATTTGAATCTGTTGAAGAACTCTGTGAGTCAAAGTTTCTTTCATGAACTGTCATAAATGAGAGCCTCCTAAAATCAAGGATAAAATATCCATTGACAAAGTATGATTAACCGTAGCACAACTCATGCATAGCATGCAGAGAAACATATCCTTGGTTATGAAGCCATATGGAATAACCGTTTCACCCTCTTTATCACACAAAAGAATACAATCTCAATATTTTCATCATATTCAAAGAAAATCCACTAACATATAGTTTACTCCCTCCAAGAACAAAATGATATCAAGAGATAAGTAAACATCATTAAGTGAACACTTGAATTCACTTAATGATCAGCAAATTGAGCAGATAACTACTTATGTAATATATATATATATATATATATATAGTACAATCAAGGAGGTTCAAAATAGATATGAAACTTCGAGCTTATATCCTAAGGAGTTGTATTGCAAACCAAAAAATAGAAAAAAAAAAAAAGTAATAGAACAGAGAATATCAAGAAAATACATTACAACTAGGTAACTTCGAGCTTATCTAAAATTAAGAAATTCATCAAGAAAAAAGAGACAAGGCAATTATAGGATGTCCATAATTCAAGATATTGGGAGAGAGAGAGCAGCAAAAGCTTCGTTCATTTATTTTGCATACCCCTAAGTTCCCCTAAAGAGGAATATTTATAAAATGATTAAGACCCATAAGAACCTTTTAAACATCTATTAACCATCTAATACCTATTATTAATCTATAAACTACTCATTATGTATATTACCTACACTTTATTCCCCTTTGCAATGATCTTACCCTCCAAGTTGAGCCAATAGAAAAAAATTAACTTGGGCAAGATATGAACCGGTGAAGGACTGGTAAGTGGAGATCGGTTGGTTCACGAGAAACAAAGGTCGATTTGGCTATGGGAGACATTAACGTAGTCAGATCCATTGAAGATAGGAACCACGGTAGTAGATCTATGCAAATGGTGGCCAAATTCAGAGAGACGCATGAGATATGAATTTTGCATGAGATGCAGTGGAGCATGGACGGGACTTGCAAATGTGTTGAAGATAAAAATATGGCATGATCATGTGAGGCATGAGTGATCTAAGTGTTAATCTAGATTGGTTGACAATTGAAGGTGAAGGTTAAACACAAGTTGAGTCAAAGAAATGTCAAAGTGATTGGCATGAGGGATTTTGTTGAAAGGTTGTCGAAGTCGAGGTGATGGTAACAATGGTGGAAGATCTTGCTAGTGTAGAGGTCAATGATAGTGAACGACAAATGATTGAGTTTGCCCATGGGAGACATGGATGTTGACATAGATGTTGAAGATAGTAAGATATGGCAAGTAAGTTGAGACAAATCTAGTAATGCGTGTGCCATAGAGGTGTGTGTGGCGACAAGATTTGGTTGAGTCCGAGCACATATGTGCAAAGGTCTGGAAGATGAAAAATCTAACAAATTGAGGCATCGAATGGCAAGGTGTGATGAATATGGAAGGAGCCAGAAACAAATAACCAATAGAGATAAGAGTGAGGTTTGACAAAATGAATAAGTCACAAATTTGTAGGAGAAATAGAGGCAAAGATCGGAGGTGGCACTTGACAAAAGGCTAAACATTGTTCTAAACAAAATCATAAAAAAAAAATATAGAAATAGAAATAAACAAAACATACAGAATAACTAAGCAACTTTGAGCTTGCCAAAAACTCCATAAAGAAAAGACAAGGAAATTTGAGGATGCTCACAACTCCAAGTATTAAAGGAGAGAGGAAGTAGCCAAAGCTTAGTTTATTTATTTATTTATTTATTTCTTCTTCTTCATATGCTAATTCTCCCAAGGAGAGATATTGATAGCACTATAAAACCCATAACTACTTACACACATCAACTGAAAAACTACTCATAAGATTTATCACTAAACAGGCTATTTGGTTACAAGATTTACACTAAATCTTGCAAAACAATTTTTTGAGCCACAAATATCCTACTGTATTGTTGAATACTATTTTCCTCCCCCTTTAAGCCAAATCTAGAATTTAGTAAATCCGGGAGAAGTAGGGATTCAAGAGATTTACACCGCTCCTCCTCATTACACCTCCTCTACTCTTTCATTTAAATCCTAAACTTGAAAATATCTGCCAAATAATTACTATAATTTAAACAAATTTTGCATTTATCACTCCAAACAGTTTTCAGAATTTAACGCTTCCAAAATTTACTAAATCTTGATTTAATAGATTTATTAAATCAATCTCCAATTAAATCCAACTTGTAGTCCTAAATCCCCTAAACAAGTCAATTGGCATGAAAAGCCTGCAGCTTTGCTAAAATCCAATTTCTTCAATTTCATGCAGGAGGGTGCGGCTCCCCGCTTCATCTATCGCTCCATCACCAGCCCAAAATAGTAAGACCTATACTCATTTCAAAATTTAAGCCACAAAACCTTCCTCTTACCACAATGAAAGGTATAATAAATCATACCGACATTCCAAAAAGAAGCATTCGTAATGGGTTTCACTCCAATCAAAAGATGAACACAATGTAACAGCCATCACCAAATTAGGAAAAAAATGTACGATAAAAACCAATGAAACGACTCATTTCCTAAAGTGTACTCTGATTCGAAGCAGAATAAGCAATCCAAAATCACGATTCATCGCATTTTGTCAAATGATCAACCAAAATAAGCGAAATAAAAAAAAATAAAGAAACATGACAGACAAAGTAAGACAGATGCCCCTACCTCCATAGTCTTCTCTTCCAATGCCTCCCCCGTTTCGCGACAGCCGCGCTAAGAACGACTCCGGCCGTCGGCGGCATCTTGCGGAAGCAGTATCGAAGTTCGCAAAAACCCTAGCCCTCCTCTCTACCTCTATTGGCTTCTCGAGGGAGGCTGCCCGTGTTCTGCCGCTCCTCTCTTTAGCTTCCTTTTGATTCCGCCTGCTGTCTCCCTCTTATCCCCTTTTCTTGTTTTTTCTTCTTCTTTTCTCCTTTCCATTATATTTAAATATTCAATACATAGAGAAAAGCAATAGCGAGAATCCCAACGTCAGGCTGCTCAAGAGAAGTGATGGGGAGCCAAGTTGATTTTTTTTAATAAAATATTGCTACTTGCAATACTAAATTTTGATTTTTTTTAATTTAGATAATTCAATAAAAATTTAATTTAATGTTATAAACTATCAAATATAGAAAAGTGAGGGCATTGAGGTATAAAGGTTGGGCTTTTTTTTTTTTAATGATATGTATCTATTTTTAGAGAAATTATTTTGTGCAATTATCGAGTTGTTCAAAGTTGAATCAGAACGCGCCACGTCTCCTGGTACTGAGCAGTACACAGAAAAAAAAAAAAGATGCGGTGCGTTCTGATTCGTCTTTGAACGTCATTTGGCTACCACACATATTTTTTTCCCTATTTTTAAGATCTTTTGGATGTGCTATTGAGTTGAGAATATTGATTTTTTTGTTTTTTAAGAAATCGATTAATATAATATTTCAATTTTCAATCTGCATGTATAAGAGGTTGTGGTATTTATTTATTTTATTTTTTTGAAATATTTGGCTCTGATACCAATATCATATGGGTGCCAATGGATCTTGATAGTAAAGGCGACAATTTTGCTTGATGAATTATTATAGGATAAGCGAAGATAATAGAGAAGGTATTGGGAAGTGATTAGTTTAGAATTTATGTAGGGTTAATGAGTTAAGAGAGTTATGAGGAACTTGCGATGAGTAGTTTTAAGAGATGAACGAAGAGTGTCAATGCATTAGATGTCTATGAGAGGGTAGGATTATATAGTAAAGAGGTTTTTGGTGTTAGTGAAAAGAGTAAACTTGAGAGGGTAGGATTAAAATCAAGCATATTACCTTATGATCTTATTAGGCTAAAAATTTAGTTAGACTCAATTCTACTAATCGTGTTAAGCCTATATCTAAGTTAGGCTTAGATCTTAAATAAGGCTGATATGTAACCATGGATTTTAATGATTTTTTAGTAAGCTGAACAACAACCAAAGCCCTTAAGAGAAGCTAAAAGATCAATCAATTATAGAGAAGCTAAAAGAAATAAGTTATTTTTTTTTCAATCATCTATATGTATCATCTCCATCTTTTTTCTCAAATCCTATAGTAAACCTCACAAAGTATCTATGTAGAGTATAAGGAAGGTCTAAAAAGCCTTATGTTTAGGAAGGTCTAACAGACCTTATGTATCATCTTTAGGGCTTATATTTTGATCTCCATTACTTTTTAAAAAATATGTTATATATTAAAAAAGCCTTATGCTTTCAAGTGGAAGCCATCAAATCATAGTAGATTTTTTTTTTGGAGCACGGGTATCTACCCGCTGTCATCCCATATGAGGCACATGACGGTATAACTAATCTCTTGGCGAGCCTATCAGAAACCAGCCCCACAGGTGCATAACCTGCAGTTATTTTCTTCACATTTAAGAGGTCACGCCGCATGAGAGGGGAATCGAACATGGGTTGGGGGTTCCCAATCATGCTCGCCCACCAACCCAGCTAAGCCCGATGAGGTAAACCATAATTGATTGATAAATTGCTTGTTTAGTGGTTAGGATCTCTTGGTATGCAAACCTACCATCAATAGGACCTAGAAATGCCCATATCTCCTTAATGGTATCTATAATCCTTCATAATGAATGAGGTCAAGTGATTACTATTTGATCTAACAATCTACCTCTAACAAAATCATTGCTAAGCATATTCTACCAATCATTTGATCCTAAAAAACTGTTGATGAATGACTTATTACATTGCTTTGTGTGATTCATCCACTTTTGATATTTGGAATTTTAATTAATTTTCAAATCATTTTAAAGATCATAATATATAAAATGTGAGTATTATAATTAAAAGCTATTTATGCTAATTCAAAAAATTACATTTCATTTTATAATTTAATAAACTTATATTTTCATCAATAAAATCATATATTATCAATATTATTACTTAATAAGTTATATAATTCATTATATAAAAAAACATTATAATAAGTTATATAATTCATTATATAAAAAAAACATTATTAAAATTATCAAATTAATTTCATAATATTATCATGGCATAAATTGCATATGTATTTGACACTAAGCTTTTTTATAAAATAATACATAATTTAAAATATCCCCTTAAATATTTCCTGCATCATAATTTCATGAAAATCCATTAAATACTAAAATTCCTTAAATATTTTTTTAGAATGCTGAGACAGTTCCTTTTACCAATAGAAATTAAATAAGATATTTTGGAATTTAGATAATATTTATTTTTTCAATTCCACATGCATCTTTCATGCATTACAAAACTTATATTTATATAATATTAAAGCTATTTGAGATATTTAATAACTTTAATTCACAAAATTTCTCATTTAGGTCTTATACATTATAAAAGTACAAATAATAAATATTTTTTTTTTAATTCAAAGAAATTTTTTGGAGCCTCGCAACATTACTATTTTTAGACATAAAACTATTTATCTAATTTTAAAATTTATTTAAATAATTATTTTCTTTGTTTCATGACTGCCATTTAAATTTGTTTTCAAAAACAAAATATTTAATCATTTAAATAATTTTTCTTGCTATTGAATGATATATCCTAAATTAAAAATAAGGAGAAATCATTATGTGTGGTCACCGGACGGTTTGGAGGTGAATCAAAACGAGCTATGTCACCCGGTACACAACAAAAAAATGACGTGGCGGGTCCTGATTCACCTCCAAACAACATCTGGTAACCACACATAATAATTTCTCGAGTGTCAATGTGAGTATGTATTCATTTCCATCCTTTGTAATAGTACTCCCCTCCTCCCCATTTCAAAGCCTTTTTAAAATCTTATTGTTTAGTTATAAGAAAAGCAAATACAATATAAATTTTCAATGTATTTGAATAGCACAATTTTATTTTATTTTTTTTCAATGTATTTAGAATTCTCTCGATTTTAGACAAATTTTAGATACACAACTAGTGTAAAAAAATGTTGGTCACATCAACCACCTGTTGTCACGTCCTATCATTGCCGGTCATTATCGCCCACCGCCAACTACCACTGTAAGCCCGCTATCTTCCATCAACAACCTTTACTGTAGCTAGCAACTACTGGTCGACACCTATAACTTCTATTGTCAGACATCGCCACTCAGCTGCGCTAACCACCATTGTCACTGTTAGCATTGCCCTCGTCAACCTCCAACAACCTATTATTCTAAATACACAATTCTTGCAATGCATTCTCTTACTTAAAAACTCTTATATTTGTTGTGTGTTCAATCAAATAAGTAAAAATATGCTTTTTTCCTTTCTTTTTTTTATATATTGCATTTCTTTTAATCTGTGTTTCTTATTAAGCTGAATAAAGAACACAATAATCAGGGCTGTCAAAAATTGGGATATGGGTTAGGTTCAGGTCGAATCCGGAACTGACCCGACACAAGTTGACCCGACCCGAACATGACCCATTTTTGCAAAGGAGTTAGGTATTTCAACCCAAACCCGACCCCACGCAGGTTATTTGGTTTACTGCACCTGACCCGGAAACACAGCTACATTGGCAGCATCGCGACAGCGCCGGCCATAACAAAATGAGAATTAAAGCTTCATTGAGTATTATTGTGCATACTTTTATTAAACCTCTCTCTTGTTTTCCAAGCCATATCATTATAGTAAAGAAATAGGGCATACTGTAATGATGTTTGTTTGAAAAATAATATCAAATAACTCAAATCAATATATTAACATAAAGATTGAACTAACAAATTCATATACTCATAGACATTGAGATCAAAATTTTGATAAAACATATAAAAATAAAAAAAAATCAGTACTTTCATCATAATTTTAAAATATTTATCTAAGAATTAACCGAACAGACATATCAAAGAAAATTACTTCCCTAAACAAGTAAAAATTCAATCAGCTACACATAATATATAGTTTGACCAAGGCAGATTTTCCTTCTTTAGATCAATATAGTTGGTGATTCATCCAAAATAACTTCCATCAAAAAAAAATTTTTGGACAGTTGACTCGATATGCATTCAACACAGAACTTCACAAGCAATTCGTGCGGTCAACGACTTTGGGCTGGTCAACTAAGCCTAATTCCAAAGGAGTTGCAGTACACGTGGACCTGCTCATCTTCTCCACCTGCAGCTCTCTGCTGAATTCCAAAAGAAATGAGAGAGCTCCCACCGAGAAGTTCACCAAATCTGAAATGCTGACCTTTCACAAAGTCAACTGCTGTTCTTCGCTATGGATAGATAACCCAAACCGGCAAACCTACTACCTGCAGTCACAAGTAAAGGCTTGTGGGCGGCGCATTCAGACAGGGTTAACGGGGTTCAGTTCGTGGAAGCGCTGACTTTTTTGCGCAGCAGTTGACCTGTAGAACATCACAAAGTCAGCTTCACTGCGTTGTGGCGAATTGGATTTGGTGTCCGTTAGGGGTGGTTGGGGCTTAGATTATACGTACGGGTCCAATAAAGTTTGGTGAGAAGGATGAATAAGGTAGAGAATGTTATTATTTTTATTTTATTTTTTTATGGTTTAGGATTAAGGCTTAAATTACTTCAATTTATTTTATTTTATTTTTTCAAAATTTAGGCTTTTGGAGTAAAATGAGGCTAAAAATAATTTGAGCCTTTATTGCATGCTAGAATATCATAGTGGTAATTAAAGTGCATAAGATAGAAGATTAAATTTGTTTATGCAGTTAATTGCCACTCTTGTGGAGGAATTAACTTCAATGTAAACATCTTTTCTCTCATATTTCCAAAGTGTATAATATTATCAAATAAAGTCACCTCTTGCCATAAGTCATCAAATAAAGCTTGATGTACATCATATGCAACTCGAAATCACGTGAAATTATTATGTGCGGATACAGATGCTATATGGAAGCGAATCAGAATGCGCCACATCACTCGTTTGGTGTGTATCGCGGTTAGGTACTACTGTGTACTAGGTGATGTGGGGGATTCTAATTCTCCTTATGACGATCTGGTGTCCTCCTAGAATAATATCTCCGAAATCACAAAGTTACTCAACAAGAAGATAAATTACCTTTATAGATAATTTGAAGTCGCTTGAATCAGAGACTGAGGATTACTATTAGTAAGAAAGAAACACATTATAATAAGGGGTTTAATATGTTATTGCATAACTACAATCTTCTAACTATCATAGTTGACTCTGGTTCTTCTTCCATCATCTCCGGATTATAATCTCCTAATCATCATTGCCATGACTCTTCAACTATCATCCTCTGACTACAACAAATATATTTTTAATTTCAATTCAACTTCAATAATAATTTAAAATACCCGAAAGAAATATATTATAATTTTTTTATAAAACAATAATCTCAAAGTAAATTCAAGATTCTCAATATTCCCATTCAAAATATTTTTTGATTGCATAATATTTCGAAATAATGTGTAATCCTCTACTCGACTATCAATTAGGGCAAAAATTTAGGCATAAAATGTTAGAGTTTTTTATTATTATAGGTCATAATTTAAGTATGATTATTGTTTTAAAAAATTGCTTACTATTTAATAACTTCTATAGGGATTAGGGAGCTACCC